ATTTTTGTGTATTGTTTTTCTTCGTTATTTTACTATACACGTACGTCATATTGTTAGAAAATCCTTGATTATTATAATAAAGGTTTCAACCTCTTGTAATATTCAAAATTATAATAACTAGTTTTAAACCGTGAAAATTCCACAGTTTTCCTATTTGAAATTTCTGATGAGTCTTAATTCTTCAGCTAATAATTGAATAAGCTCATAGTGAGTTCTGCAGCAATAAAATATTCGTAGAAATTCCTCATCATTATATATTTTAGCTTAACAACTTAAGAAAATATTGCAATAACAATCATAAATATAAAAGCTTGACGTTATTTTAAGAAGTAAGGGGGTACAAATGAAAAGATTTGAAATTGGCAAGTTTTTCCATTTCACTGAATCAGGCGTTAAACACTTCTATCTCCTTTTGTTGCGGGTGTATGCTAGTTGAGCTTTTAGGTCGATAACACGTGTCTCCTGGTATATTTATCCCACAACAAAAATGGCGGACTCGCCATGCGAGTCCGGATAATAAAATTGAAAAGTTACAACAAAACTATATATATATAAACAAGCGACAATGTATTTATTAACGAAAAAAAGGATATACATAGACAAAAGGAAACTCTCGTATGTTAGAAAACAAGGAGCATTAAAGAAGAAAACATTTAAACTAGTGAAGTGTTTGTGTGTGTGTGTGGTTTCATGTAGGAGAAAGTCCTAGAGAAAATTGTTGTGGATTCCGGGATGAAATCTGGTCTCAAATGAATGACAAACGCAGGAATGAAATATAGCAAATAAATGTATTGACGTAATAATACAATTGGTAATACGGTTAGTAGATCCAGAAATGCGGTTAGTAGTAATAATAATATATATACAGTCTGGGAAATTCAGTATCGAAGTATGACTTCCTTCTGAGTTTACGTGCTCGCAACTGTGACTCCTACAAAGCGGTTACCTCACACTCTCTCACTTTCTCACTCCCGGGTATTCACCGGCAGCAGTACAAGTACACACTGGGCGAGTCCACTTGTATAAAAAAGGGGTGGCCGCCTTAACAAAAATGAAGTCTGTGTGTGTGTGTTTCCCAGTGAAGAAAGCGTTTTCCTCGTTCGACCTACATCTTACCGTAATGTAAGTGAAATAGGAAAAAAAGGTTATTTATTTCTGTGCTATAACAGAAAATATGGCACAAGGCCGAAGTAGGGAATGGGGAAGTGGTCGGTCTTCTGTCTTAACTTCTAAACTTAGCTGGCCACAAACGCTGACCCAATCATACTAACAATATTTCTTGCACCAAAACAACACATTCTTACTTACCTTTCTCACCACACCCACCATAATACCTCAATGACTCCATAAAAATACTAACAAGACCCCATATGTACAATTTGTGGTCTGTGGGGGGAGGGGAATAAAACAACAATTTAAAATTTTAAAATGTAACCCCAATGAGTATTTACAGTATGAAACAAATAACTATTTACAAGAAACTAAACAAAATCGTGTTTGTAATAAAAGCCCCACAATCACTAAATGTGGCAGAAACATCAGTTATCTAGACGAAATTAATGCGGGACTATAAAAATTAAAAACATTCATTCATCCCAAGCACTCACACAGACATGCACTCATTCAGACACAACAACAGATACGAAAAATCACACCCGAAACGAAAAACGCCGCGCATCCACCAGAGAACTGACGTCACTGACCACCTAACGAGGGAGGGGATGGGGAATTAAACTTAAAGAAAGATAGGGACAGAAATAAAAGGAACCAATGTGCATACATACCCTAGCTAAGTTTACTGAAAAAGAAAACTAAAGATTCAAAAAACTAAACGTAAGCTAACCTAAATTTTTGAGTGGGTTGCCCGTGTTCAACCCAGCTAAAGCAATATCCTGATGCCAAACCAGCATCAAAGTGCCACTCCAGGTCAGCCCCTTTCACACGACACAAACGAGAAAGATTCACCTACCTTTTGCCGAATTCAGATGAAGTGAGTCGCCGCCTTTCCGTCCTAATCTTGATTTTAAGCTGATGCTTAAAGTACAAGATCAGCTGGGAAGAGGTAAACTTCTCGCCTCCAACGAATCCCTTCTGACGTGTCGTCCAAATCACGACTCTCATAACACCTAGTAAGCATAAGAACACATAGTGTTCAGCCCTCGTCAACGGCGGAGCCACATTGCTACAAACAGAAGCGGCCTCAAGGACAAAGAACTTTCCAGACAGTATGCGAACCATGAGGCCTTCAACAAACTTGCACAGCGGTGCTACCACCGAGCAATGAAAAAGGCGTGGCCAATGGTCTCGACCGCCCCACTACACCGGCAGCAGTTTGGATATTTCTCCAAGCCCGCTAAGCAAAGTCTTTTGGCGACCCAAATGGCCCCACGCATCACCAGCCAGGTGAGTGATGCCTCATTGTTATAGAGACATTTTAACCCGGCCGCCCAAGGCCATATCGAGCGAACCTCCGCTTTGTAAGACCGAGCTCGTCAATCAAATCATCAGAAACGGCCCCCCTTAAGTAACACCTGATATAATGCCTTACAACGTCTGGACGTTGGAGAGGCCATCAACGCCCGTAAGAGGAAATAAGGAAAAAAAAAAAAATGTTACTGTTCATTTATAGATTTGGGGCGTCCTCTAGCGGCGGTTAACTCACACATTCTTTCTTTCACATTTTCACTAAAAGCAAATATATCTTTTGTCTTCTCATGCGATAAATCAGTCAAAATAGGAAACCTCAACATCTATACATTTCTGCCATCGAGTTGCAAGGTTGGCTTAACGATAAATTTCTAAAGGATCGGACGCTAAGGAATTTTTTATTGCAGTTTCTGCATCTTTGCAATGGAGTGTCATTTGGCTTTAAAAAATTGTCAAAATGCTTGACAAAGTGATAGTTGGTGGGCGAGAGATCAGGTGTTTATGATGGATGTGACAAAGTCTTGTATCCTAAGTCGGTGAGTTTTTGCGTTTTCATCCTGGCAACATGAGGCCGAATATTATCTTGAAATAGAATTGGACAACGTCGATTAACCAGTGTCCGTTTCATTTTACTTAACTGAATGTGCATTTCATCTAATTGCTGGCGGTAAACTTCGGCGTTGAAGCTCTGGTTAGATTCCAAAAAAACTGTAATGGATAACACCAATGGCGGACCACCAGACAATCATCATAATCTTTTGTTGGTGCAATTTCAGTTTTGGAAAGTGCTTGGACCCTTCGTCATGATCAAGCCGTTGAGCCGATCGTTTACAATTGTCATAAAGGATCCATTTGTCATCACAAGTCGATAAAGAAATAGCTGTCATTCAATATCACAGATACAGCATTGAATACACTCCAAAACGTCAAACACTTTGACTTTCACTGAGTTTATGTGGAAGCTATTTACAGGGCTCCTTCACGTTGCCAAAGGTTGTCCGATATTGTTGAAAGACTGTCACCCATTATCTGAGGCACATTTCTCTGATACTTTCACGTGAGGTTTGTTCGACTAATGTTTTCAGATGTTGATTGTCAGTTGCAAACGGTCGTCGTCTAATGACTCGATCTTCAAGACTTATATCTCCTGTACGGAACTTTACAAACCAACGCCTTACAAGAGGAGCCTGTCGGAGTTACCTCCTCCTTCGATCCTTAAACCGGCAGAGGAACAGGTCATTTCGACCTTGACCTCTCATTTCTGCGTCTCTACCGTCCGACCACTTTTATTTCTTTTTCTAGAATAAATTAGCGTATATCATATATATCCTCGTTTTGTCGTCTATATTGTTTCACTGTCTGATTATCGTCTTCAAAAATGTTAGCGGACCTCTTGTGACCTCATTCACCCTTGTGTGATACGGGGCCGCTCTGGGGCCCGCTACAAGCCTCCTTCAACCCATGCTTTGTTTATGTTGGTAGTAGCTTGAGAAGCATTACGACTAACTTTGAATTCAATGCACAAAAAGTAAACGCATATATTCTTTTTTCATGTTCAAGGTGAGGATATATAATGTTTTAAGTTCAATTCTTAAATATATTGATATAAAAGCCGGGATTCCAACAACAACAAAACAATAACAATACGTCTTTTAAATGAAACATAAAAAAGCTATCCTTTGAAGGAAAAGTAGCTATTTACTTGTGAGTTCGTCGACAAAGGCTTAGTCGGTGGCTACTGGCTATCATCTCTTCATTGTGTGTGTAGGTGTGTGTATACGTACGTGTAGATCAAACTGGCCCCCCAACTTCTTTTGAGACACGAAAAGTGGGATACGAAAAATATTAAAACAAATGAATATATAAATAAAAATGAAATTAATTTTTAAAATGTTTAAGAAACGATGTAGTTAAAGTAATAAAACAAATCCAGCTTTCACATGATTACCGTGAATCATGTTCTATTTCACCAACGTAGATTTGGTTGAAATAAAATCCAGTTTTCTGTTGATGCGGTTTGATCAGCGAAACATGTCAAAATAGAAACATTCCCAATTGCCTTGTATGTTTATTATTTCGTCAATTCTCATCTAAATTTAAATCGAAACTTAATATCCTTTTTTTTCTTTTTTTTTCTTTCTAATTATTCAAAATATTAAATCTTTAATTAGTAAGTTCCTGGTTAGAAGGATTAGCGTTACTTCTTAACCAAGAGAGACCAAGAACTTTTGACCTTACTCACTCTTCCCCAGATATCTTTTTGTTACCACTGACAAATGTACAGATTTGACATAGAGAATTGTATCCAGACCCACATCTATATACGCGAGTATATAAAGATGTAAATCAGAAAGTAAGCGCGCTCGCGCGTGCGTGCGTGTGTGTGTGTGTGTGTGTGTGTGTCTGTGTGCGTGTGTGTGGACTTGTAATCACTCATTAATATTAAGCAGATTGAAGCAATTTCCAGAATCAGAAGAAAAAGAAAGGGAAGAGGGGGGAATAGCTTTTCTAAAAATCCTTTCCTTTCGTCTCTTGCTGAATCTTGAAATGGAAAATGTATTTCGCCCAGATATTTATCTGCTGCCTTCTCGAGAAATACGAAAACTGCCGAGTATACAAATAATGGCGAATGGAAGGGGGAAAAAAACGATTAGAAAGGAAAAGAGAGGGAGAGAAAGAAAAATAGAGTTTGACGTGACTAAAGAAAGGGAAAGGGGAATTAAGGGGTGAAAAGAAAAAAGAAGCGAGCGGAAAAGAAGAAAAAGAAGAAAAAATATAATAGCAAAAGGATGGGAGGAGATGGAGATATTTAAATTAAACAAGATTATAAAGGAAGACGCTTACAAGGGAAAAACATAAATATAAAAAAAGAATTAATTAAAAAAAATATAGTTAAAAGAACAAATGAGTGAACGAATGAAAGAATATTTGGCTTACGGCAACATCGTATTGAAACACCGGTCACAGAAGTTAAACAACGTCGAGCTTGGTCAGTACCTAGATGGTGTGGGTGTGCGGGTGGTGCAATGGATAATGGCTCAGAATTATTAATCAGAGAACCGAGTTCCAATTCCCGTTGGGTTCGTTATATTCACTTACGCACTCTTCGGAGAGATATGAATCCACCTCTTCTCCCCCCAACTATGGGTTAATTAGCAAGATTTGTATCACTAAACCATTATCACCTCCCCCTCCCAACAAAAAATATCTTAAAATCTAAAAATATTTTCTGGTTTTAAATAACTTGCAAAGGGTTGATGAATCGTAGGAAAATTAATGAATTAATCAAAGAATATTTAAAAACAAAAAAGCAGAAAAAAAAGCAATGAAAAAAGATATAGCAAAAAATAAAGGAATGAAAAATAAAATAAAATAGAATGAAAGAGGAACGCTGAATGAAAACTAAATAAATAAACCACATAGTTAAGAAAGAAAGAAAGAAAGAAAGAAAGAAAGAAAGAAAGAAAGAAAGAAAGAAAGAATAAACTAATTAATAAATAAAAGAATATATAAAATTTAAGAAATAGATATGAAAAATAACTTTAAAAAACTGAATGAAAGAAAGAAGAGAAAATAGAAAATAAATTGAACAGAAGCCAAGAAAGAATCAGAAGAGACGTGAAAGAATGAGATAGAAAAAGTCTGGAAGAGAAAGAAAGAAAGATAAAGAGATTTCGTGAGGAAAGAAAATTTGAAAAAGAAAAGAATGCAAAAAAGAGAGGAGTTAGAGGAATATAATGAGAAGAAGAAGAAGAAGAAGAAGAAGAAGAAGAAGAAGAATTTAAGGAAGGAAGTAAGTAAATTTTTATACATGTAACTTCTCAACTCCTTCTGTCCCTGTTCGTAGCCACCGCGCTGCCAGGTGATTTCCGCTCCCATGTCATAAACCAAAATTGACGTCATACAGTAAAACTGAAACAAAAGTTATTCACATTTTAATATCGCGCGTTCTGATGACGCAAGAACCGAAGAACGAGGTTTAGTTGCTGGCATCGTGAACTATTGCTGATTAGTTCGTTTCTTGCTAAGTGCTTAACAAATACTATCTACAACAAAATATTTCATATTTTCCCGCCGTGTGTGTGTGTGTGTGTGTGTGTGTGTGTGTGTGTGTGTGTGTGTGTGTGTGTGTGTGTGTGTGTGTGTGTGTGTGTGTGATCATTCCAAATCTGAAGCTAAATAAATATTTGCATCTTCATAAGCACTCCAATAGGTCTTCTACTGCTCGTTTTTATAAGGATTCATTTTCAAAATTTCAGATGAAAGTCTTAGAAAAAAAGGATAAAAGTTCTAACAATAATTTCTATAGTTGTTCTGATTAAGAATTTTATTCTCCATTATATTTTTCTTGTTAACAAAAATTTCCGGATTAACAAAATATTCCGGATTAACAAAACATTGTACAGCTGACATCTATTTAATGAATTGAATGAAACAGAATATTATTTTGACCTTCAAAAATTTAAATGCAATGTCAACCGTCATCTGTCGCCTTAATTTCTCTTCTTTTATTGTTCTCTTTCTTTAATAATGTTTTTTTTCTCAGATACTTCCATTATCAGTCGGCCCTAGGTATGACGATAAACTACATCCGGCAGTAAGGCCTTTTATCAGAAGGTTTTGAGGAGTGTGGAACTACCTCTTAATTCCTGGTGTTCTCAGGGCACCCTGACCTGGGGTGGTAGCACCTGTCAGGGTCCCAGCTATAGGCAAATAGCTACTCCCCCCCACTTCTCCCAAAAAAAGGGTTCGCAATGCAATACATTTTTGAAAAAAATTATTACCAGCAATACATTTTTGGAAAAAAAAGTTATTATCAGCAATAAAAAATAAAAAATAAAAAAAAACTTGTCAGCATTAAATAACCCATTGATGCTGATATGCCATAAACCAAACCAAACCAAAAAAGGTCAAAACACTATGAAAGTATAAAAAATAGGTTTTAATACTAGCAATAAATTTTCGAAAAGAAAAAATATTGCCAGCAATACCTTTTTTAAAAAAAATATATTACCAGCAATAAAAATCTTGTCAGCATTAAATAAACTATTGAGGTTGATATGCCGTAAAACAAAACAAACCAAACCAAACTATTATCAGTAACGACTTGCGTTTTAGTGGCTTAATCGCCTTTCTTGGGGTGAAATGCAAAATAAAAAAATTAAATAAACGTATTAGAGTGTGTCATAAATAATTTCCGTTTCTGTTTATCAACTTGGTTCTTCAAAATATTACACTTGGTCCCCACCAAAAGGGAAATTACTTATGACTCAACCTAATAGGTTAATAAAGTAATATCTTGGAATGATAACAATTTATCCTATACGGATTACATTCCGAGACAATATTGTAAAATGAATTATAGATAATACTAGCAGTAGAGCCCGGCGTTGCCCGGGGATGTAACAGTAAGAGATAGATCAAATATCGACCATCATAAAGACTGAAAAATAAAATTGACAAAGATTATTGTTTAAGGTTGACGGACACGCGTGTCTTAATTAGTTTTTTTTTTTTTTTTTGTTTTGTTTGTTTTTTTGTTTTTTCTTACGAATTGGTCAAACCCAAACTCAAACAAAAACATGGTTTTCAATCGTTATGAGTCTACCGATTGAATAGAATTTTATTATAAACAATTGTCTTGTAAATGGAATTTTTAAAGCATTCTGAATGTAAAAATAAAGAAAAAAGTGTGCAAGACAATAAGAAACACTACCTGCCAAAAGAAAAATGTAGTTTTGTTGAAATCGGTTGAAAAATGTAGGAAATCCGATCCCATATAAAAACGAACACACACACACACATAAACAACCTGGGTTTTATAATAAGTATAACCCGATATGAGTTGTCCCCCTTTCATTTTCATTAAGATGGCTCTTAATCGTGTTTACAAATTGATTTTGTGCAAAAACACTTGTGTTTTTCCAATTTTTGGCGCTGTCAGAACCACCGCCAGGTAATTTTACGTAGTCCTGTGAAGTTTTGTTGAAATCGGTTGAAAAATGTAGAAAATCCGATCCAATATATAAACGTACACACACACACACACACACACACACACACACACACACACACACACACACACACACACACACACCTGGGTTTTATAATAAGTATGATGATGTTACAGCTTTCTTTTTTCTGTAGCTATTTCACTCTTTGGAAACAGATATTTCTGTTATAGGCCAGGGTTGCCATGTTTTGCTACATTTAAAAGCGTTACTAATCTTTTTTTATTCATTTCGCCCCAAACAAGGCGATAATGCGACTAGGTTTATTGAGAGTGAAAGAAAATAAGAAGACTTTAGTGAGGAGTGAGACGAAAGACCAATAAAAGAACAAGATTCGGAAAAACAAAAGATGGCGATTGGCGTTGCATTTGATTTTTTTTACAGATTGTAGTTGGCAGGGAAGCAATTAATCGGAAGAGAGTTCCACAGGTTGGAAGTGCGGGATAAGAAACTATTAGAATAGAATATATAGTTACATCTAGCTAATTCAATAGGTAATTGATATTTTTCTTATTAGTAACCGATGTTAATCTTGCTTATTTTAAAAGTAACCGCAAAATAGCAATAGGTAAAATTTCAAAATTTGGTAGCGCTAGTCTTTCAAAAGTAGCACATTATGGCAGACCAAGCCCAGAATGAAAATGTCCATCTTCGAAAAGAGAAAGAAACTTTTAATCCAGTTCAAATCTTTATTATTTTATGACGGGGTTTTCTTTTCTTTTCTTTTTTTTTTCTTTTTTTTATTTCTGGTTTTATCATAACGATCAGATTCTTTTTAGCTTAACAACAGAATACAACGATCCTGTTTCCCTCCCGAGGCAAATGTACTGATGATATGCTGAGGACATAGATATTAATAGTTGGGATGATATTGATGTTGAACATAAAAACAACATTCTCTACTAAATCCAGAAATAGGACTCAAAATAAAACTTTCCAAAAAAAAAAAGCTATGATCTGGAATTGGAATGAAAAAATTGATAGTACCTAACCTGAATCCATCATAAAAGTTCAGGATGTGGATTTAATAAATATCAAACACTTCAAAAATCTTGGTATACGGGTCAGTTATAATAAGTTTAGTATAGCATATAATGAAATTAAACAGTTCAGAAATATTTAAATTGTCAGTTGTATACGACCGCTTTCTCAAATCAATGGTAAAAAATGTTTTCAAGCGAGTGAAGCCTATGCATCTTAACAAAGACCATATTTCCTCAAACCTTGTAGACTGGAGCTAAAGAATCACAAACAAGAACTGTACTAAATAACAGAAATCACATGACTTGGATACTTTCAACATCAGCAACAACTAACATGGATATCACATGTAACTCGAAGGGAAAATAATGTTGACATTCCACAGTACTTCAAATAAAAGGTTAAAAAAGAAACCCTCGTTAATAGTGGAAAGAGCGACAACCATTACTGGACATGAGAAACCTATTTTCCGGAAAAATTAAGAGAAAAATTTCAACAGACAGTAATACTGGCTGCTCAGTCAATGAATGCCAAATGTTTCCATCTAGGAAAAGGGCAAATACTTCCATTAACATTACCAATATGTCTAAATTTTGTAAGCCCATGTTCCGCTCAAACAGGCTCCAAAAGATAATCTCGTCGTAAATTCTTCAGAATTTCAAATCGGGTCGTAATTTCTACATCATTTTTTTTTTATCTCCGATCAGTGTAGGTTCATAGAATGTAAAAATGATCTGACCGTTGTGATAGAATATAATTTGAGTCAGATGAAAGCCAAATGATGACAATGCGACATCTAAAAAATTTAAGCTAATCTTAATTTAAGTTAAACTTATTATTATGTCTACAACTACACTTTAAAAAGCTTATCAAAAGTTAATAATATTAACTAAAACTTAAAACTTATCAATTAAATCTTTTGAAAAACTTAGCAGTACAAATAGTGTCTTCCTTTCCGATTTGGTCATTGTCTCAAGAAAATATGACAATGAATTTTTAGGACAATGAACTTTTATGTAGAACTTAATGTATGTACCGCGCCCCTTCTAGTATGTGTGTGTATGTGTGTGTAATAGAAAGAAAGAAAGAAAGAAAGAAAGAAAGAAAGAAAGAAAGAAAGAAAGAAAGAAAGAAAAAGTGAGAGAAAGAGAAAGCGAAAGAAAGAGAGAGCGAAAGAAAGAGAGAGCGAAAGAAAGAAAGAAAGAAAGAAAGAAAGAAAAAGAAAGAAAGAAAAAGACAACATAATTCTGTGGGCATTGAGCAACTTTTACTCCAAGTTGGAAGTGGCGGCCCAAGTTTAAATAATTAACAAAAAAGTCGAGTTGCCGGCGGATGTAAGCAGGTTCTTCCTGTTCGACCTTATTTATTTGTGTTTCTTTGTCGGAAACACCTCTGTTATTGCTTAGCATCCTGCCAACTCCATTCTTCAGCCGATATTGGGACCCCAGCCGTCCCAGCTGCCGACCAGAATTGTGGGTGAATGTTTGGGCAGAAACATACCTCGATAAGCTTCCTCTTCTTTTTCTCTTACTTAAGGTATTCTTTTTCTATCTCCTATCACACCTCACACGCTCCACCTTTATCACTTCCTTTTTCCTTCATCATATTGTCATAGAGGTTAATGATGTCTTTGAGTTATGCACACGACTTCAGCATCAAAAATTAGATGCTGATTAATTTTCTCTCTTTTTCTACTAAAATCCCTAGACTTCACACATACGTTTCTTTCTTTTTTTTTTCATTTATTCAATTTTCATCTTTCTATCTCTTCCCGTTTTCCTTTTTTTTCAGTTCTTTCTTTTACTTTTTTTCCTTCCCTTTTCCACATTTTTCTTTTATCTTGATTTCCTCCTTTCATTCTTACCATCCACTTCCCATCTTGTATTCTTCATCAAACTCTTATTTTTTCTTATTTCTTTCTTTCACTCTCAATTTTACTTTATCTTCCTTTTTCCTCTTTTTCTCTCCTTCTTCCTTTTCATGGACGCACTTCATATCTGTTTGTTTACTTCATTTTTATATACACTGAACATGATATCTTATGATAATACGAACTGACTTTGATCTTTAAACAAAGCATTAACCCTGTCAAGTTCCAAACCTTTTCTTCCGATAAAAGAACCTATGGTTTGAATCTTTTGGACCATTTCTGTTACTCTGAGAAGTCCAACTTCAGTTCACATGGAATAAACTTAGCTTAGTTTGGCAAAAGATCACAGGCACGTGGCACACGGTGAGAATCAAGCACTACTCCATAGAAAAAGTCAGCTAGCTCCACTCCCTAATCATTAACCTAGGCTTAGAAACCAGAGGTTGAATTGAGTTCATTTTTTTGACAAAATGTAAGGAAATACAAAATAGAATGAAAGCAGGAAGGAAAGCAATATATAATGATCATAGGATAGTATACAGAATGAAAATAGGAAGAAAAACAATATGGAATGAAAATAAAAAGAGAGAATTATGGAATGAAAATAAGAAAAAAACATTATGGAAGAAAAATAAGAAGATAAAAATTATGGAATAAAAATAGGAAGAAAAACAATATGGAATGAAAATAGGAAGAAAAACAATATGGAATGAAAATAAGAAGAAAAACATTATGGAATGGAAATAGGAATAAAACAATATGGAATGAAAATATGCACAAATACAATATAATATGAAAATAGTTTGATTTACTTTTGTCTACAAGTGTTTTATTGTCCCTGTGAATGAACATATAACTCATAACATATGGTTAAAACGTCCTTTCCAATTAATATGAAAATAATAATTACTTAGGCACAAAGCCACCAGTAAGGGCTACCCAGAGACGATCACACTCACTTCTTAATAGTTGGGTCAATGGGACTTGCTCACTAAGCATTACCAACATTTCGACACCTAAGATTGGTACGTTTATATATATATATATATATATATATATATATATATATATAAACATGAAGGTATAGATTATAATATAAAATAATTCAAGAATTCAATTACGTTTGTATATAAGTGTTTCATTGTCTCAGCGAATGAATATTTGGCCCATAAGTCAGATTAAGACGCCCATTCAAGAGAATATGGAAACAATAATCATAATGGCGAAATGACTCAGGCTTACAGATCAAGATAAATATTGAAATACTAAAATTTTTAATTTTAAACTTATGAAAGCACTTTTATTATCCCCATGTTGCTAAAACTCTAGAAAGAAAACCAGAAGTAGTTTTAATCCTAGGTCCGGCATCTAAATATTAATACGTTCATTTTTTTTTTTTTTTTTTGCTAATATCCCGATGTTTAACATTTCTCTTAGAATACCTCCCAATAAATATGTATATATATATATCTATCCTTGGAAACATTCACGACACTCTGTGTATTGTAGAACTTGCGATACACTAAAATCTGTGTTAAAACAATCTTCGGAGTGGAGAAAATGTATCTGCCTGGAAAATCAGCATTCGAAATCTTAGCACCAACCATAAATAACTTAACCCCATGAGCAGTCTCAAGACAAGCTATAATTCCGCGATTTATACTGACCATAAATTTCGCCTGCAAAAATAAAACGCAAGAATAAATTTTATCAATATGAATCGAAGTAACACAATGTGCTTCTAAAATCTAGAATACATTCAAAATATTCTGTTATTGCTTCAAAGGAAATTAAAGTATGTACGGCAAATTAGTGCATTCTTTAATACGTCAATGTCAGTAAAATCTAGTGTATACATTGATAAGAAAAAAAGGAAGACTTGTATTTCGCTGTGGTATTTCTGAAAGATGACAATGGCACTACTGAAGATGACGGGTCCGCTTGTAAAAAAAAAAAAAAAAAGAATTTAAAAGAATTATTTAGATTAGTATTAATTAAAACTTATTCTTTACGGACATTTTTCAAAATCGAAAGATATTGTTATTTATCTTTTTATAATTGGGGTCTTGTTCATAATATAAATACAGTGTTAAAATGATCCCTACCATTTTAAAGAGTTATCTACAAATGTCAAGTCTGAAACTGTCTATACGTCATTGATAACTGTGTACTACTATTTATTGGGAAAAATGTTAGCATCAGTAGTACGCAGTTATCAATGACGTAATCACAGTTTCAAATTTGACATTTACAAATAATAATAAAGTACAGTAAACTCTTTTATAAGTCAGGAAACCGTAAGTTATGAGAAATGTAATTTACGATAGTTTGTATTAGGATAATTAGTGATGTTTAATTTTATTTATATGCTGACAGAACACTAAATATCATTTTACCAATGATGAATGCTTTCGTTGCATAGGAGAAATTACATTTCCTTATTCTAAGATTTGCTGTATGCCGTAAAATGGTCTTAGCGAAATTGTTGTAATTAAAAAAAACTTCTGGCGTTTTCTTTTTTCCCATATATCTAAATTCTAATGATAAACTATAATTCTTGAAAGGGAAAATATCATTGTAATATGCTCGAAAATTTTAAAAAATACGAATTCTAAGCAAAACTTCTTTCTACCTCACTATTTTATTTTGTGCTGGAAAACACTAAACTTGGTATTCGCTTAAACACTCGGACATATTAGCGCAACCATCGACGACTATCGAACAGTGCTGTCTACTCGAATTCACTGACAAGGCTTGGATCAAACCCTGGTATGGTTTTCAGATACTTTTCAAAGGTGCTGCACGCTGGGATCGAACTCCCAGGTCGTAAACATCAGGAAAACAATAAAACTGACAAAATGACAATGGTGAGATTCGAATCCTGGTTGTAAAGCGAACGTTCGAACCAGATGGTTATATATATGTTTGGAAAATAAAAGAAAACACTCCCATCACTGTACAAAATCTATACATTCAGTTAAAAATAAAAAGCATCCTTGATAATTGTTAATAGAATAGCCGAAAGCACTCGGATATATAAAACATTCAGACAGTCTGTATGTCCAGAAAAGAAATCCTTTATATAAACACAAGAAAAATTGAATAAAAAGATTAATCGATTTCTGCTCAAAATACACAATTATATATATATATATATATATATATATATATATATATATATATAACATAAAAGGTTCAAACACTAATATTCCATGGTTATAATTTATTACATTGGAATCGTAATCATGATCAATTCATCAGCCCTAATTGAATTTGTAGGTCTGATGAATTGGATCATTAATTCAATGTAATAAATTATAACATGGAATATTAGTGTTTCTTTTTTATATTATATTATATTCTTTCTCTGTCCTGGACATTGAGCTCTACCTGGATTCTATCCTCTTGAAATTAATATATATATATATATATATATATATATATCACATATTTTTATCACATATATGTGTATGTGTGCGTGTGTGTGTGGATATCAAATAAGCGTAACTTAGTGCAGCAGGCAGCCGGCAAGGTTCGAACTCACTACATGAAAACTGTCTTGCTAACTATTACTCTGTTGCAAACCCCGTGTATATTAGAGAGATAGGGAGATAGAGAGGGGGAGGGATAGAGGGGGAAAGAGAGAGTAGGAGAGAGAGGGAGGCAGATAGGGGAGGGAGAGGGAGAGAGAGAAGGAAGGAGAGAGGGGCAGAGAGGGGGATGGAAAGAGAGAGTATATGGGTGTGCGTATGCCGCATTTTATTCATTTATTTCCTTGGGCGTTTCTTTATTAAGTTATATTTATTCCTCTTTTTCTTTATTTATCTTATTTTCTTTTTAGATGAAATATTATCAACCGCTAATACAATTGCTATGTAATACCAATCCTCATATACGGTAGATGAAGATGTGATTTCAGATGGTTCTACAGAAGGATACTGAGAATACAATAGACGGAGCATGTGAGCAACGAGGATGTTTTAAGAATAGTGAGAACAAAAATTATGCTTATACTTAGAATCAGAAAGAGACAGTTGAAATTTCTGAGACCCAAAATGAAAAAAAATGTTTAGAAAATTTAACACTCTCAGGGCATATTGAGGTGAAGAGAAATAGAGGGAAAACAGTGAATAACATACCTTGTGTAATTGGATTGTAGAGCAGAAAGTGGATAGTAAGATGTAAGAGCTACAAAGAATAGGAAGTTGTAGAGAGTCATGATCGTACAAGTCCAGAAGGGACACTGTATATTGAAGAAGATTATTATTATATTTGACTCGTATTTACTTTTATCTTAATTTCTTAGTTTAGTATGTATGATCGCGACTCAACTTAAGTTTTCGATCTATGGCTGCGCTGATGAAAAATAAAGG